AACATAGGAATAACTACATCCAGATGACAATTTTACATGTGGATTTGTCCTTGTCTGCAGTTGCCATTAAGTCATGTTGTATTTTGAGATGATCAGATGTGCTACAGAACATAAGTGCTAATATTCCCTCTGAAACTCTCATCACTGATGTTCATTTAAATGAGCATCAATGACTTATAGTAATGCTTCCATCTGCTTTCTAACATAAGAGCACTGTCCCCAAAGCTCATAGCCCTTGTTGTGTATTATAAAATGGTTATGAATGGGGTAGAATTCCCAACAACCCACATTGGAATTCAAAGCACTAATAAACTGTTTTTTAAAAATATTTTAAAACAGGTTTGGAAACATTGGCTCAAATTTACCCATGCTACTAGACCAAAAGAAGAAGAAGAAGAAGAAGAAAAAGAAAAAGATTTAGGTTATATAATAAAAGCCAGCCTACCCTCTGACCTTGCACTCAGTAGAGGTTCAGGAACACTTAAGAGACACTTTCTCCTAAAAGCATAATGGTGAAACACTAGAAACTTCCCTAATTAACCTAACTAATGTAGATAGGGGGTAAAGCCAACAATACTTTGAAGAGTGTCTCAGACTTAAATAAATAGCAAGAGAATGTCATTTAAATGGCAAACACACACTTAATTATGGGTTTTAAAAAGGTAAAGTAAAATTCTCTGTTCTACTTACCAGCTGCTTTTCCTGTCTCTCCAAGGCTGCTCGATCTCTGGTTATAGTCCTCTGTGTACCTCTCAACTCTCGATTCTGCTCCTTTATTACATCTGGAAAGGAAACATTTAAAATTGGTAAAATCAATCTTCAAGCCCAATTCTTAACAGTATTGAAACATGTAATAACCTACAATTTATTGGACGATAGCAAACTTCCCTTCATTAATTTGATTTTTATCATAAGAGAAAAGTACTCTCCTCCTACTGGGACAAATAATATCAAATATATGCTAACAATATCACATATAAATGTACATGTCTGAAACACTATATTAAATTTCCATACTCTAGGCCAAATTCTCCTTTTATACAAGTATTGGCTGGTGGTCCATGGAAAAGTCTGCATTGAGTGGGATAGGCCGTGGGCCAAAAAGTTTGGGAACAACTGGAACTGTTAAGCCAACAGCTTTTAACACTAAATTTTCTTTTCTTTAAGGCTACGTCTACACTGGCCACAATTTCCGGAAAAGCCATGCAAATCAGGTAAGTCAGGATAGGGAAATCCGCGGGGGATTTAAATATCCCCCGCGGATTTAAATAAACATGTCCGCCGCTTTTTTTCCGGCTTGGGGAAAAGCCGGAAAAAAAGCGTCTAGACTGGCGCGATCCTCCGGAATAAAGCCCTTTTCCGGAGGATCTCTTATTCCTACTTCAAAGTTTGAGTACTTTATCTTCTTTGCAAGATATTGAAAACAATTTGCACTAGGTGCAAGAGAACAATTTCTTCATACTACTGTTACATGGAAGCCTTATGGAATTTTCCTGATAAAGTGAACCTATTAAAAGCAAATTTCAATTTATAATTTAGAACCAGTCATTTCATCTTCCATTAAAGATTTGTCCTCTTGTTAGGCTATGTAGGTCTTACAGTGAGTATTAAAATGTACACAGAAGGACTGATTACTGAAGAATAACCCCCTTTCCTTGGTGGAGAGAGAAACAGTTATCTTGGTTATAGGTTGTAGACTAAGGATGTTAAGAACTAGTCGACTATCCAATAAGAAAATGCTTATCGGATAGTCAGTCGACTAGTCAACTCCCCCCCCCCTTGCTGCCAAGGCGGTATTCAAAAGGGCAGTGCCGCACAGCTAATCCTGGGCTCAGCTATGCGGCGCTGCCCCCAAACGCTGAGGCGGAGTTTCAAAGCGGCAGCGCTGTGTGGAGCCCAGAGTCAGCAGGTGACTCTGAGTTGCTCAGGGACCCCAGGCTCACGAGGGTGCTTCCACTTTGAAATGTAGAAGAGCCACTCCTGGGGACTCTTGTACGTTTCAAAGCTGGCATGCCACCGTGTAGCCCAGAGTCAGCGGGCTGCAGGTGGAGTTCCACATTCCTCCTTTGAAATGTGCAAGAGCCCCCACTGGGCATGTGGACGTGCCTATCAACTAGTCAAGTAGTCAATGGAAATTCCATCAGCTACTCAACTAGTAAATTAACCTCTAGTTAACATCCTTATTGCATACTCAATGCAAACTCCCATATTTTTTTAATGTTTCAGAATTCC